ATCGTCGTTGTCGTCATCGTTTTGAATAGAAGAGAATGATGATCCGAGAAGAAATCGACGTGCGGACCTTCCTAAAAAATTATTGGTGGACAAAGTTGTTTGAAAAACGACTAAAGAAAAAGAAGAAAAACAGATAAAGAGAAAAATGGAATGAAAAGGGAAAAGAAAAAGAATAAAAGAAAAGCAAATAAAAAAAATTAAAGATTTGTGAAGAGTAAATATGAAAGAAATGGAAAGATGCTGCATGTCCGACAATGCTCTTTCGTAATATCGATGCATTTATATATATATATGCATCATCTATAAAAAAAGGGAGAGAAAGAGAGAGAGAGAGAGAGAGAGAGAGAGAGAGAGAACATTGGGAGTGCAGAAACATCGAAACACCGCATTGCGGGGTCTCTTTTGGAAGCTTTTCGTTGGTCCACCTCTGTCAATTTGCTATCGATGAAGAGATATGCGTGTATACGAACGCGTAACCGTGCCATATAGAGAGAAAAAGAGATATAGATAGATAGGTAGAGAGAGAGAGAGAGAGAGAGAGAGAGAGAGAGAGAGAGAGAGAGAGGGGGAGAACGACCGAGTCTATTTCGAATAGCCAGCCAGCTTTTCGTACCCCGTTTTTTTTTATTTTCATTTTTTTGTTTCTTTGTTTTCCTTTTTTTCCCTTTTTTTTATTCCTTTTTTCTTTTTTTTTTTTTTTTTTTTGATCGTCCAAACTACAAAAAGAAAGTAGCAATTTCCGAGAAAATTTTGATTTCGATACTTTCGTTCTTTGACGTTGGTTCGAACGTGAACGCACGCGAAACAAATAGGTAAATAGTCTCTGTCAAAAAAAAAAAAAAAAAAAAAAAAAAAAAATAAAAGAAAAAAGGAAAAAAGAAAGGAAGAAAGGAAAGAACAGAAATATTTAATAATTTCCCTTTTTAGTCTTATTATTTGTTGCTTTTATGTTTTTTTATTTTCTTGTTTCTTCTTCTTCCTTTTTACTTTTTTTCTTTTTCTCTTTTTTTTTTTTTGTTTACTCGATCGATCGAAGTAATAACTTCTTCGAAGTTAAAAGGTTGTATTCGATCGTACACTAGAATATACATTTAAGAAGTTCGAGTGAAACCGGGCAATTACTGCTATACTTGCCTGGTATCCATTTACCACTACTATATATAGTAATACATACACACACACATATATATATACATACATACATACATACATACATACATACATACATACATACATACATACATACATAAATACATACCACGTTCGTTTATCAGTAGAAGAAGGTAGCACGTGAGTAAGGGTAGCATAGAAAACCGGTCGTTATTCTTAAAATCGATGCACCAATCATTTTCTATGACTATCGTTGGCCGCGTTCGTCTCGGGAATTATTCATCGAGCAGCATCAGAATGCGGTGAGCTGCGGAATCACGTTAAAAGCTTTCTGACTCTCTTCTTTCTTTCTTTCTCTCTTTCTCTGTCTCTCTCTCTCTCTCTCTCTCTCTATCTCTCTCTCTCTCTCTGTCAGTCTCACTCTCCCTTTCTCTATCTTCCTCTTTCTCTCTCTCTCCCTCTCTCATCTATCCTCTCGGTTGTAATCCCGCATTCTCGCGCTGAAAAGCACGCGCGGACAAAAAAATGTGAGAGAGAGAGAGAGAGAGAGAGAGAGGGAGAAAGAGAGAGAGAGAGAGAGTAAGAGAGAAATAGATAGAGAAATGGTAGAGGGAGGGATGAGTGGATGGAAAGCAACGAAGGAATAGGACCGAAGAGCAGGAAGAAGCACCACGGAAATAAATTTTACGGGTTGGAGTTCATGGAAAGTGCCGGTGGCTGTTAGCTGCCCGTAACGCACTCTCTTTCTTTTTCTTTCATTCGCGATCGCTCTATCTCCGTTCTTTTCTTTCACATGCGGAAATAGAAAGCGAATAAAAAGAATTAATAGTTAACCGATTTAACAGTAATTTAACGTACCTACATAAATACAAATATATATATATATATATATATACATATATGCGTGTGTGTGTATCTATAAATTATTTAAGAGATTTAAAAAAAAAAAATATATATATATATATATAGAGAGAGAGAGAGAGAGAGAGAGAGGAAGAGAGAGAAATAAGAATCAAATCGATATGAAATCGCAAATCATCAAGATATCGTATTTTATTTGCCAGAAAATTTATAAAATATTAAAAGAGTCTTATCGAAGTACGAGAATAAGTGTCATAGATTTTCTTGCTTTCTCTGTTACAGACAATTACATGGGGAGAATGGTCGCCATGGTCGAAATGGACGCAGTGTTCCAAGTAAGTCGAAAACGATCGATAATAATTTCCTATTTTTATATAATCTCGAACTGTGGAAGTTTTAATCGAGTATGCGAGTTTGATAAAGTAAAGAGTATAAGAAAAGAAGGGAAAAAAAAATTAGAGGAAAAATTTATAAGATTTATGTAAAAATAAATTTCCTGACGAAACTTAGCTACTTATATATATATATATATATATATATATATATATATATATGCATATATAAATTTATAAATACATAGATACGTATGTACGTACGTACGTATATGATTCAAAAATTGATAAGGAAAAATTCTCGCATGCTTACCGCTTCTTCTGATTACATCCGGTACTTTACCAAGGTGTAAAGATTATCATCTGACATATCGGAACTTTCGTGACCCGAACATTTCGAAACTACTACATCTGCGCTTCGTCATTTTCCAATAATTAATTCCAAAATAATACTCGCGCGACATATGGCGAATGACGAACGCTCTCTCTCTCTCTCTGTCCCTCTCTCTCTTTTTTTCTCTCTCTCTCTCCTTGTTTCTCTTGATGTATACACTTTGTGTGTATATTTCGTGTGTTCCAATTGTGTTTCGTTTTTTATAAAAAAACACGTGGAAAATTAAAAGTCAAAATTGATCGAGTCGAAATTTTAGTGTGCTACGTTCGCCTATGCATTTTCGCGTTCATACAGAAATAACAATCAATGTAGCAGATCTGTCGAAATGTCGTTGATAACGCGAGCTAAACGAAAATACTCAGTGTCGTGTGTGCGCGCGTGTATCTACATACACACATATATGTATATATATATATATATATATATATATATGTGTATATGTGAGTGGATACCAGTTGAAAATTCTACTCTATTTATTTTCTATTTTTTTCCTTTTTTTATTATACCTTTTTTTATTCAAAAAGTCACTCTATATAAAAAAGATTGTTATCGAAATCGAATTGAATCTACTCGGATCGATCGTTCGATCGTTCGATCGTTCGATCGTTCGATCGTCCGTCCGATCGACCGGCCTGAAAATAATCTTCCGTTGTTCAAAGTTAAAATTCGAACATCCTGTTCGTGTGTTCACGTTTCACAGAATTATATACAGTACAGCAGATAGTAACAGTGTGTAGACATGCGCAATCTCGATATAGGGTAAAGCAATATATATATATATATATATATATATATATATATATATATATATATATATAGTCTTGTAAAATATCCACTTCAAAATAAATTTCCACAGTTTATCTTAACTTAGGGTCGACGTTTGGACTAAAGAGAAGGAGAGAAAGAGAGAGAGAGAGAGAGAGAATAAAAGCTTGAACAAATACTTCGATAAAATCAAATAATACAAATATTTCGACATAAAACGATAACGAACGGAGTAGTCGAATTTATTCAATTTTACATTTTATTCAGCGATTCTCATTTATCTCAGAGATATTAAAGAAAGAAAAAAAGAAAAAAAAAGGAAAAAGTTTTTATATTTCCAATTATTTTCACGAATCACTGTAATATCATACAATTACATATGTGTACGTGCGTATATGTATGTATGTATGTATGTATGTATGTATGTATGTATGTATGTATGTATGTATGTATGTATGTATGTGTGTATGTATGTATGTATGTATGTATGTATGTATGTATGTATGTATGTATGTATGTATGTATGTATGTATGTGTGTGTGTATCGGATTATTGAGTTTTCTTTTTCCTTAACGATCGTAGAAGCATAAGAGTGCAACGAAAGGTCACCTGGATAGCTATCAGAAATCGTTCGATCGATGTCACGTGATAAAGATGAACTTTCATTCATCGATCGTAACAACGAAAGGTCGCACTTTATTAACCAACGATGCATCTCTCTCTCTCTCTCTCTACGTAGACACAAATACACACAAAAATTCTTTATCCGCGTGACCTAATCTCACGTTTTTCCGAAGCAAGGAACGTTTCATGAACGAGCCAAGCTTCGACGATATACGCCACAGGAATGTTAAACGTTTCGGAACTCATTTTGCCCGAGAGAGAAACTGCCAAGTTACACCGACTCTACCCTATATCCTCCCAATTCCTCCCCTTTAAACACCACCCGACGGCCCTCTTCCTCAATACTCACCCTCTTTTGACCTACCGATCGACCGCCTACGTCCCGCACAAATCTCGTGTTTGTTTTTCAGTTAACTCGAAATTGCCGTAGACTCCGCCAAAGAGCTTTAATAATTTATAATCAGTCACGAGTTTAACAACACAAAGTCCCCTGTTCAATCTGTAACGCGAAAGAATTTATTGCGTATGATCTACGATGGCCTACGCCATTATCCCATCTAACTTTGTGATTAACGACGTTCAAGAAGTTTTTCCTATTCTTCTTTTTCTCCTTTTTTCCATTTCTTATTTTCTTTTTATTTTTGGTTTATCGTTTTTTTCTTTTTCTCTTTTTCTCTTTTTTTCTTTTTTTTTTCTTTTTCTTTTTTTTTTTGTCTTTTATTATCGTATCGATACGTACGTATCTATGTATGTAATTTTAATTTCAATCGTATCGCTATTATGATGTTTATTGATTCGCAACAAAAATTTTCAGAAGTTGCGGCGGTGGAATATCGAAGCAACAACGGCGATGCAGACGAAAACCATGCAAGGGAAGACCTTGGAGTACAAAATACAAAGTCTGCAATCCTCAG